ATTTAAATCATCTTTATTACCTTCAAACAGAGTAAAAAGTATCGTCTACGTAGCGGAACCATGCCGGGAAGTTTAAAGTTTCAAACAATTTTGATTCATAATAATGCATGTAGATATCAGCCAGGATGGGACTGAGGGGGCTTCCCATGGCTAATCCCTCAGTTTGCTTGTAATATTTATTTTGGAAAACAAAATGTGTTTGTTTCAAACAGAGTTGAGTGAGAGAAATTAGCTCATCAATTTCGATGCAAGAGAAATGAAATTCGCGAAGTCTGGTTTCTAGACATCTTAATGCAACCTCCACTGGGACATTGGTGAATAATGATTTTACATCAAAGAAACCATGAGTAAATTACTAAGAGAAATGTTTTTAACTTTTTTTACAAACTCTATTGAATTTTTTATGGTGTAAATGTTATTGTCTAATAGAGTTGAAAATCTAGAAACTAAATATTTAGCTAATGGATACGAGGGCAGTACCTAAATTTGATACAATAGGGCGGAAAGGAATACCACTTTTATGAATTTTGGGAAGAGCATATAATCTGGCACAATTCGCAACAGAGGGGATAAGTGAATGTTTTAAGTTGCCTGAAATGATTTGCGAAGATTTGATCGCAGTTTTTATTTTTGACAAGTCCGAAGGTGAAGGATCTTTAGGGATCAGATTATATGGTCCTTCGTTTAAGAGTTTAGTGACACCATCGATGTAAGTGTTCCTATCCATGATGACTATCTGGCCACCTTTGTCGGCCTTTGAAATAATAATATCCGGGTTAGAATGAATTTCACGCAATGTAGCTCTTTCTCTCGCAGTTAGATTTGGTTTCAAAGGTTTATTATTGAATTTCACATTATGAGCGATAAGATGCCTAATCATTTCTTTCTGTGAATCTGAAACTTTACTGAACTTGAAAGCTTTTTCGATAGGAGCCAAAATCTTTGGAATTGAGGGTTTACAGGTTTGTGAGAAGTTAAAATTATATTTTAGAATTCTCTCTTGTTCTTCTGAAAGACTAACATTAGAAATATTAACTATTGGCTTGATGTTTACAATGGGAAGATTTTTTGAACTACTTGAACTGGAAGATTGTAAAACAAGTTTTTCGAATTTAACTGCAAGGGTGTTTTTATGACGGTTAACTGCATTCTCCGTTCTAGACCAAGACTTTTGTTCAAGGGCAGTGAATTTTGAATATGATTTAGCGAGTTCCAGATGAAGCTTATTGAGTTCACGTTCAATTTTGGACAATTGTTGACGTGTATCCCTTATGACGGACCGAAGTAAGGCAAGCTTGCAATTCAACAGAATTCTTGAAACGCGACTCGAAGGTTTTTGATTAGATTTGATTTGAATAAAATTGGGGATCAATTTTTTACATTTACATTTAAGTAAAAAGCCAAGATGATTCAGGAATTTTTGCTGTTTCAGGCAAAAATTCCTGAATCATCTTGGCTAATTTAGTGAAACGATTAACGGATGAAGGCATGATAAACAATACAGAAAATCAAACTAAATTAACTAAACAATAATAAAGCACCACAAAACAGCAGAAAAACCCCCTCACTGAAATTAATAGAAAACAAAACGTTTGTAAGCAAAATGCATGAAAACAGACAAGCAAAGCACAATATCCAAATATACAAAATATAAACATAACTCGAAAATTGCAAAAAAGTACTTACCGAAACTCATGCAATCACAAAATGGCGGCCACAACACGTGCAAAAAAGAAAGCAAAAAATAAGCCTGTTTGGGGCTTCTATAATTAAGACACAATAACACGCCGAATAAATACTAATTCAGAAGTCAAACAACAAAAATCAGCGTTATATTTACAAAATTTTCACAGGACAAGTTTCGATGGTTTTACCGAACCACCATCTTCAGCTGCAAAACCACAAATGCACAAGATAGGAAATAATGATTAGATAAGATAAGAAAGCCTGGACAAGAATAAGCAAGTGGCGCAATAAGAATAAGCACGTAATACATCCAACTTCAGTACTACGGTTTACTGTAAACCTTCATCGGTTTGCCTTCCACCACACTTTAAATCATGTCATCCGACTAAACAAAAGTTAGCTTCATTTTATTCCTATGTTTTCCGTGCTCTTCAAGTTTGCTCCTCCAAACTAGCCCTTGATGAAGAATTAAATTATTTAAAAGCAATAGCTATTGACAGGGGCTTTCCACCCAACATTATTAATCAAGCAGTTAAAAAATTCTCATCTCAACACACTAAAAGGCACACTCTTGTTTTAGGAGATTATAAAAATTCTGTTGTCATTCCCTTCTTTCCATCAATTAGCTATAAAGTTGCACATATTTTGCAGAAATTTAACTTTCGGGTTGTTTATTCTCCCATCAATAAAATTCCGAGTTCCATACTCAAGGACCCCATTCCGGATATGAATTCCTGGGGTATTTATAGGATTCCTTGCCAGTGTGGTTTAATTTACATTGGCCAAACTAAAAGAACCTTAAAATTTCGCGTCAAGGAACATGAGGCATATGTTAGAAAAAAGGAAACACAGAAGTCTTCTGTTGCTCAACATTGTTGGTCCGAAAACCACACTTTCAGTTTTTCTGCTGCCAAAATTATTCAAAAAACATCTTCCATTGGAGAACTGGATTTTCTAGAGGCATTTCACATTCATAAAAATCTTTCTGTTCTAGTTAACAATCCTAATTCCAATCCAAATTTGCCTTCGGCCTTTAAAGAAATTATGTTTTAGTTCTGGTTTCACCAACAGATGGCGCCACTTGCTTATTCTTGTCCAGGCTTTCTTATCTTATCTAATCATTATTTCCTATCTTGTGCATTTGCGGTTTTGCAGCTGAAGATGGTGGTTCGGTAAAACCATTGAAACTAGTCCTGTGAAAATTTTGTAAATATAATGCTGATTTTTGTTGTTTGACTTCTGAATTAGTATTTATTCGGCATGTTATTGTGTCTTAACTAGTGAAGGGTTTCTTTCCCAGCAAGTATTTAATTGTGATGAAACAGGTCTTTTTTAGAAGAAAATGCCTAAGAGGAGCTACATCATGCAAAAGCGTTGCTGGGCACAAGCCAATGAAAGATAGGCTTACCCTCTTGTTAGAAGCAGAGATTGTAAAATCAAGCCATTGCTCATTTGCCACTCAGAAAATCCAAGAGTTTTCAAGAGAGCAATATGCAGAAAAACCAAATGAATGTGATGTGGCGAGTCAACAGCAAAGCCTGGGTAATGCAGCAATTTTTCATTGAGTGGGTGAATGAAGATTTTGGTCCCTCAGTGAAGTGACCTTCACGAAAATAAGTTGCTGATCAAGGATTTGCTCGTCCTTGATAATGCTCCTGTATACCCTCCAGAGCTTGAAAATGATTTGCTGGAGGAATTCCAGTTCATAAAAGTCAAGTTTCTTCCTCCCAAAATCACTCCACTTCTCCAGCCTATGAATGAAGTTATTTCCAACCCTAAGAAGCTGTATACGAAGACTTTTTTCAAAGGTATTTTAAAGTGACCAAAAATAGAAGCCTGACCCTCAGAGAATTTTGGAAGAATCATTTCAACATCCTAAATTGATTAAACCTCATTGATATGGCTTAGAAAGAAGTCTCAGTGGAGTTCAGCATGGAAAAAAACAGTGGCCTCAGAATAATACTAGGCCTCCTCAGACTTAGGTTTCAATCCTCAACCTGTGGACAACACAGTGCAGCTAGTCGAAGAAATTGTATCTCTGGGGAAAAGTATGTTTCTGGATGTGGATGGTGCTGATCTGGATGAGTTAGTGGAGCATAGTGGAGAACTTACAATGAACAAACTTAAAGAACTTCATAAGGAGCAGCAAGAGGCAGCAGAACAGCTTTCGCTACGGGAGGAGGGATCAGGAGATGAGGCCCTCTCTTCTAGTAAGATTTAAAAAAATGTTGGAAAAGTGGGAAGAAGTGAAAACTTTCTTTGAAGAAAGTCACCCTAATAAAGCAGTTTGTGGTTGCACCATGAAATTGTATAATGACAATGTAGTGTCACATTTTAGAGGCATCTTAAAAAGGAGACAGAAGCAAGTGTTATTAGATAAGTTTTTGGTAAAGCAACCTGCAACTGAAAGAAAGTTAAGTAATTATGACCCACAGCCTGCTTCCAGTGGGGTAAAATTCTCAAGAAGAGAGAGCCTTCCTGAAACAGAGGGGGGCCTCTTCTTCCCCACAGTAACTGGTTGGTTCGTCTTCCTCACATTCCTATTGCCAGTCAGGACTCTTCATAAAGGTAAACTACAGTTATATTATTTACCAGTGTTATTTATTAGAAAAATTTATTTTTATGTTGATGTTTTTTTTTGGGGGGGTGGGGAAAGGATTAACTGGATTTCCATTATTTTCAATGAGGAAGTTTTTTTTTCTACATACGAGAAATTCACTATAAGAGCTCAATGCTGGAACAAACTAAACTCTTATCTCGAGGTTACACTGCATAAAATGTGTATGCACATAATAAGTTATTTGGTACTTTCTGATTATTTGCACCCCATGAAAAGTCGTTAATGCACTAAAACTTTGTGAATCAGCCAAAAAATATTTGTGTAACTATCTTTACTCATAAATTGTTTTACTCATAAATAATAATAATAATAAATGTGATTTTATAATAAATAAGAAATTTTATGAAGGAAAAAGTCTATGCGCTCAATATTTACAATTTTACAAGTGATGGAAATGAAATAATGGCTAAATATAATGCAAGCAAATCCATATAACTTAAATGTGTGTAGTAGAATAGCTACTGCGACATGCATTTTCAAAAATACACTACAAACGCTACTGAATGTTGACACTGGGCATACAAATAATCAGAAAATGCCAAACCCGCCCTTTTTTTTTTTTCAGTTATAAGTCATTATTCTATTTCTCCAATGGAGAAGTACCAAAAGGAGTGTATTAATATGGTAAATAATTTAGAGTAGAGTAAACCAAATTTAATATGCATTTCACAAAATTTGCTAATATGATACTGACCCGTATGACTTGCCAATATGGACCACCATGAGTATGAAATGTATATGTGAACATATCAAACCAAGTAACATCAAAGTACATTCCTAGACCTAAATTAATAGCATAATTCCGACCATCTCCTCTTACTCGTAACTCTAAGTGCGTAAAGCATGACCAGAAAAAAGTATCATCACGCAGAAATGATCTCTGAAAAGAAAAATCTTTATTATAATAAATGCATGTAATTAAAATCTCAATACAAATATTCAATATAAATGTTTTATATCAGCTAATATTATGCTGTAATACATATAAATTATTTGTATTTATAATGCTTACAGGTATGATTCATACATTCAGAAAGCAAAATTATTTTGTTCACACTCAACATTTGTAACTCTTCAAGATGTTTCCCAAGGTACATTACACAAGGTGACTAAATTACACCCATGAGAAAGGAGAAACTCTGCTAATTTCCCAGAAACACTTCCAGAAAACACTCCTAGAGATGAAACTGATGGTCTCCTACACCTCTTTGCCTTACTTCCAACCTCTGGAGAGAGCAGATACAAATATCCATGCCTTTTCCAGGATTCAAAATTGGACCCAAAGCTAAGATAACTGACTGTCTACCTTACCACTATTGTTAAAATACTGAAAAGTTATGACAGCATGCATTTCAAAAGGGAAACATAACATAAAATTATCTAGCTGCATAAAAATAGGAGCAGAACCTAGAAAGAGCTTCTCTTCCCATAAGTGAATTAGTCATAACTACACACTTTGGATGTATGGCAACATTCTTTACACTCACATTTCAGTGCAAGTTTGACAAACAGGGGATATATATAGTTATATATCATTTATCATAATTTGAATGCAGGTAGATGCTAAAAGGATAGAGATTGTGGAATGCTGAGATTTTTATGGATATCATATGTAAGAAAATATAGCAAATATATAAATTTCAGATAAACACCCACAGCATGCAATAATAATAGATATGTTTAAATATAAGAAGATTATTCATCTATCAAAGTGGGAGATGCAGCATCAAATCACATCTCAATTCAATTTTGAATCAGTCAGTATAAATCAATTAAGCAACATGTATGGCACACATGGCTCTCAATTTGTAGTATGCTGAATATTCTGTAAAGCTGTAATTTAAGTATGCTAGTATGATCATTAAATCTGGTGTCAAAGTCATTAAGTTGTCATATATTTCATATGCCATATTTTGTGTTTTTCAATAATGATACATAAAATATATCAATACATAAAAAAAAAAAAAAAAAAAAAAAAAAAAAAAAAAAAAAAAGAGCTTGCTCTATCAAAGAAATACCTGTGGTTTTATCTACTATTATACAAAAACATTTACTTTTTAAATCAAATTTAACATTATTTTATTGCAAGTATATATAGTTTTGTTTTGTATTTTAAGCAATATATAGGATGTATCATTAGCAGATGATTTAAAATGCTTTCCCAACATTTCATCTCCTGCATCAATTTGGAATTTCCATCATGATGGTTGTGTTTCTTGCTTTTCTCTGTTGTGTTAATTTGACTATAATCATGATGATCTCTTAAAGGAAGTCTATTTCTGCCAAGAAAAATACTATTTTTATATCAGAGCTAATTTTTTAAAAATATTTTCTTTTACCTGTCGAGCATTAGTAACAGTATCAATAATATTTATTACAGTGTGTTTATGCCTTTGAAAAATATTTCTTAAATTATCAGAAGATAAGGAAGAATCTGTGTGATATTATTTTTCTTGATTTTCAGAGATTTTGAAGTTTTCTGTTAATTTGTGCCAGAAATGAAAAGGCTGAAAAATTAATTATCCCAATGGTTGATTGTTTGATTTCCTGCATATTCCTTGGCTAAAATTATATATTTACAGTAAATTACATCTTCAGTTGTATAATAAGTTACGAGATTCTAACAAATTATATCGAAATTTCCACTTCACTCTTTCATGACCAAATAAAAAGCTTAGAAATACATATCTGGTTATTGGCATCCAAAAACCTTTCAAAAATATTTCTTCGTCAGTAAGCTTAGTATTGACATAATTTGATATGTTATATTTTTCAAACTGTGGTGTTGTTTTTACCAACTTGGATAATTTTTGAAGAACAGTGATTTCTTGAGCTCTGTATTTGTATTTCCATTTCCAATTCAGGCAGGTGATATTCTACTTCTTCACTATCATTTAATGTCCACTTTTCTGCTTCAAACTGGTGTTTGGAATTTTTGCAAGGGTGAAGTTATATCAAGTTAAAACAACTTAAAATTTTTAATGTTATTAATCCAAAAAGGGGCTATTAGTCTCGAAATGGGATTTTGCATCAGTTCCCTAGTCACAGTTCACAGTCAGTTCACATGGTGAATCATTTTTTAAACTGTCGCCACCAAATAACATCCTGTATTATTTTTAAAGAAATTAAACAATGAAGAATTGCTATGTATGTATGTTGCTCACCTTTGTGAGAAAATGCAGTACCTAGAGCCATCAAATTTTGAATGAATAGTCGTAGATGAATGACATAGTCCAAATTTTTTGTAGTCAAATTTTGAATAATGCAATGTGCACTTGGAAACCCTAATTTTGAATTTAATATTTCAGATTTTGTAAAACTTTAACAAACTCAAGGATCTAAAAGTGAGCAGTTTCAACATTGTATGAAATAAAACATTTTTATCTCCAGCATACGACACTATGTGTCGGAAATTCTAAAATTATGCTCTATTTAAACATTTTGTGATTTTGCTGTTGAATTGAATTTTCTGTGGCATTATTTTATGTGGCAACATGATATTTAAAGTTAACAGAACATCTCTACATATAATAAAAGAAAGAGTATGTCTGTGTGTGTCTTTTGCTCGCCCTGCGTGTAAGCTAATAGACCCACGGCTACGAAATTTGGTACATAGGTGCATCTAGACAAGAGCCAGTGCACATTGACGCGATTTTTTTGAAATTCGAATTCAAATTTTTTAAATTTAATGTTTTGTGATGAAATTGCGTCATTTTGAGATATAATGGGCTATAGGAAAGTGAGATTTTACTCTACACACTCCATTTTCACATCGTCATGAAACGTAGGCACTTAGCTATTTTACGAACTTAAAATAAATTTCGTGTTTCAATAAATTGATTAAATACGAATTTATTTAATAAATGGAGCTTAACACCTTTAAACAGGATTTTTTCTAAAAAAGTTTATTTTTAAAAATGTAATGTTTATTTTTCTTTGATTTTTGGACACGTTAAACTTTCATCCTTGCGACTGCTTTTACAAAAAGAATTTTGGAAAAATGATATTTTGTATTTTTAAAAAAATTTTTTAAATGAAGCTTCCGAGTACACTTCTCACATCTTTAAAAATGTGATTTTGGCAACAATTTTCCTTTCTTATTGTTGTTGATAGATTTTTGATGAAATTGCATGATTTTGAATAGTTTCATTCTTATAGAAATATGGGTTCGGCAACAATTTTTCATTGTATTTCTTATGTCACTGTTTTTAAGAGATTGGCATACTTCATTGTCATATATATATATATATAATACATTTTTATTGATTTTTTTTTTATAAAGATGTTCTGCAGAGTAAAATTCTGCGCGGAATTTTTTGTTTTTTGAGTTTCTTTCATGTTATTTTTTGCTTATTTCACTGTTTGTACGATATTGTAAAGTTTTGCATGATTTCTTTTCTTCAACGGAAAGTTGGTTAATTTTTTTATTAGGATAATTAATATTTGTATTAAGAGATATAGCTTATTTCATTGTAATTTTTTTCTCTTGAAAATATAAGATAAAATATCGTTAATTATACTTCGCTTTTCAGAATTTTTTGTTTTTTGTATTCTTTTATGTTATTTATTGCTCATTTCACTGTTAAGATATTGAAAAGTTTTGAGTAATTTTTTTAGGAAACAAAGTTCTTAACCTCCTTTATACCATTTGAGTTCTTAAGATTTTGCAAAGGGAAGTTGGTTAATTTATTTATTAGGATAATATTTGTATTAAGGGATATTGCTTATTTCATTGTAATTTTGTTATATGTAATAACGTTTTTTTTTTATGAAGTTGTTCTGCAGAGTAAAATTCTATGCAGTTTTAAAATTTAATGTTTGGTGTTTCCTTCAGCCATTTCTCTGGTACATTTAAAAGCCAGACGATGGCTGGCAGCAAAGCTGCTAGTTAATAATAAAAAGGGGAGGGGAGAAAATATTTTTTTTTGTAAGCCATCTTAGAAAACTAAGCACTGATATGATAAACTTAAAAAAGACTAATAAAAATAGGAAAATGTATGCCAAAACTTAATCCTGCATCAAAAATTCTAAGCATATACTGATATGTTGGTTTTAAAATTTTTGCAATTTTGCTGTCGAATTGTATATAAGTGCGAAGAAAACAATGCTTTATAACAAAGATAAAAAGACACAAAGAAATAAGTTAGCAGAAGTGAGTGCAACAACAGACTGGTAGAGTGCGAATCAGTGAGAGCATACAATAGCTTAAAAAATTCTTTTGGGTGATCATATTCTTTTTTTTTTTCAAATTAAAGTAACTTAAAAGCGACTGCTGTTTCATCTTGCTCATTGTCGAATTGAAAAATTAAGAAAAACATTCAAACAAATTTAAAGATATAAAATTAAAAACTAAACAATTTGAGCAAAAGAAAAGAGATTGAACCAGATTTCCTGACTACTATCTGTTTATGAAAATCAAGAGCTGAGACTATCGCTCGTGGACAATTCAGCTCCATAGGGGTGATATGCTGAGGTCTGCACTTTCAGAAGACCTATTTTGGTGCTCATAGATCACTATCTGCTAAAAAAGAATTAATTCTCCTGTAATTCTTTCCTAGGAAACTGTTGGGTGGAGAGAGAGGGAACATGTTCTACAGACAGGGATGTCTTCGTCTACAAACACTGATCCAGAGGCAAAAACTTGTCTGCTCTTTTTTTCATAAATTGATTTAGATGGAATCATTTGTTCTCTTCATAATGAAAACATTTTAGGCATGAAGAGAAGCAAGAACAAATTTTGTGGGTGGGAGCATATGTCCCTTTACACTATCTTGGGTATGTGCCACTGCAGTAGCACACAATTTATTTTGTTTTAAATTTATGGTTCTAAAATCCATGATTCAAGGCAAAGTAGAATATCTAAAGTAATTAAGATACTTA